ACGAAGTTCATGTACTCAGGCCAGTAATATTTGGGGTCACAAGTTTTTGCCATGGATATTTTGTGGGTCAGAAGATAAAAAGTTTGGGAACCACTGTGTTAAACTATAGCTTTTACAGATCCAAAAGGGGACCCAGTTTTTAATTTGTGTTAATTTAATATCTTTTAATTTTAGAACTCAATAGTTTCTATAAGTAACTCATTAAGACTTGATTGTTTGTACAAATTAAAGATTTTTTTTATTAATTTTTGCCTGTTTTTTTTCTCTGCATGAGCAGCTGACTGAGTTTGTTGTACTTTCAGTGTTTTATTTTCCACAGACAAAAGCTCTCGTTTACACTTATAACATGTAATGTAATCACAATATACCATGACAAACGTGAACACTAACATATCGGATACACTACATGTATGTGAGCACCCATACTAATGCATACACTGAGACCCCCCCCTCCCCCCCACCAAACACACACACCTCTCTCACCCACCCACTCACTCACGCACACACAGATTGATTGTCTACAGAAGCACAATGCTCAAGAATCTAATCCATAATTTACACCTCCCTGCCAAGATCTGCACTGGCGCCAGCCAGGAACACCAGCTACTGGAACAGTAGACAAGAGGGAACACCATGTCCTTCTGCAATGCATGACTTTACATGAACACACACACACACACACACTAGGAAACAGATACAGTTTTGACTATTAATACTGCAAGATTTATGTTTTTTGACCTTCTTGCTAGAGATTGTAGAACATTTGAACAATCCTCTTCAAAATGTCAGCACAAGATAAGACGTAGCGTTTAGAAATCGCACACAATTAAAACTTTATAACTTTTGACACAATGTGATGTCTTAGTTTAAAACAAAATCTGCTGTATCTGTACCATGAGTTCACACTCCCTCAGATTCATAAAATTAGATTCCTTTTTTTTCTTCAGTTTTTTTTTTTTTTTAATTTTAGATTTTGTTTCTAAAATGTAACACATCTGGTTTCGGACGGAACAAAAATTCTGGATCAGATTTTCTAAAGTGTCATGAAGTTCTCATTTGGTGATCACGACTTTCCCAGAAACACCAACCGACCTCAGAAATCTTAACACGCCACATTGACTGTGAAGGATGTTCTTATCCTTATGAACATTAAATTGTAACAGCATGGTAACAATATTAAAGCAATGTAGTAAAATGACTAACAGTCATATTGAATGTTCCTGAAGTCATGGTGTGTCAGTAAGCTCAGACTTTAAGATGTTAAAAGATGTTAAATCAAATTTCTTCAAAAAACACCCAAACCTGCTGTGTTGTCACCCTCACATAGTTTTTGTGTTTTTATGAGCGTGATGCGGTGGGGCTTCAGTGTCTTTCCATTGAGTGATCCCACCTGCTTCTGTCTCATTTTTTAGGACCTACTTGAACAAGTGAGCCAAGTCGAGAGGAAGATTTGACRTCAGCAGACTGCAGGTCATTGATTGGCCGTAGAGGGATGAGAGCATCTCCTTCACAAGAATCAGTGTTATCTTGTATAATTTTGTGTGTGTATTTATTTGCCTTTTCTAATTGGTAGCACGTAAACCAAAAAATACAAATGTACTTTTTTTGAAAACAGTGGCAGAGGATGGTCTATCTTTTGTGACTTTAATTTAAATAWTTTTATTTTTATTTTACCCATTGCTGTGTTATTCTCATTGAATAAAAAAAATGTCACAAAAGTTTTGGGCAGCCACGTTAAAATAACTCTGACCGCATCGAAGTGGCACTCAAGTTATATTAAAGACCACCCAGACCGTGTAGACCTGAGTAGAGTCAAAGCAAGTCATGCAGAGACAGTACAAAGAACAAATAGCAATGGTGACACATCAGTAAGTTAAAACTAGAGTTTTTCATTTGACTTTTAGTTTCATGTGCCTATTTATTTTCCCATTTGTGGAAAAACTAACAAGAAAATGATTCAAACTATTTTTCACYGAACAGCTTGGATTGTTGGAAGTATTTCCCTCATGTTGATGAAGAAGAACAGAGTAAAATTTGAAAGGAAAAAAGACTACTTGTTATTTATGCTCAATGTGCGATCTTTTCAAAGGTTTCTGTGATAAAAAGATTGATGAAGAGACATAAAGTACCTCTCTGTCTGCCGCTCTCACACACTGAAAGAATGAGAGGCAGCGTGCCACATGTTTCTGAGAAGTAAACATGTGAAGGCTCCTGCTTTAAATGTCATCTCCTTTGTCTAATTGGATAAACAAAACTATCAATCTTTGTGCTCGCCAGTCAATCAACAGTCAGTCAATTTGTTATATAATTACTCTGGACTGCTTTTGTCTACTTACTACAGGAAAGAGAAAAAAAAACAGTATTCCTTCTCAAAGGGCTGTCCTCTTCATCTTCCAGTATCCTTTTAGTTATCTTATTAGTTATGAAAATCCTGCGTAAACACAATCTGGAATGAAACTAATTCAAACCCACTCTGGCCAACATGAATAATCTCATTCCCTAGCATTGAACAAACTCATAATAATGAAACTGCTTCAACATGAAAGGCCATGATGACAGTGTGTCTCTTTTATCTTAGAATGACAACAGTTTCCCTGCAACACTTTTTTTTTGCAGAGATGATATCAAACATAGCAAGAAGATAAGACTGAATTTGTGGAAAAACTTTACAGGCTTCACRTGTCTGAAGTGTTATTCCACACATTTTGCTTATTTTTTAATTACAGGGACAACGATTTTGGGAAAACAGCTCAGAAAGTGCTTAAAAGATATTTTAAATGATCAGCAACATAACATCTTAGCAGATGAATGAGTTAAAACAATAAAAAACCTGCAGCTTGACTTCCAGTGTCTCTGATCAGCAAATCTATATTAACACACACTCCTTTGTGTGTTTGTTAGCATTTATCAAGCCAAGAAATGCATCAAACTAATTATCATCCTCAAAAAAATGGAGATTAACAGATCAAGAAAGTCACCCAAAACTTGCAGGTTTTTTTAAAAACAAATAAAAAGTATAAATGGAGCATGCATTAACAAGCTTTATTTGACAAGTATGTTAAACAACAAGCAGATACACTGGAGAAGAAGTCCGGCAAAAGCAGTGTTTTTTTTATCCTTATACAGTGATGTTCACATTTTAATAAAACTGGCAGGAATGTTGATCCAAACATTTGTTTCCCCCTTGACTTCATAATAAAAAAATCTGAATATCCATAGTTGTTCTTGGCCACCATTGTCATGAGGTAAGTCAGTAACAATGCCTCAAAAATATATATACTTTAAAAAATTTGTAGGATTGTAAAGCTTCAAGCTAGAGCTGCACGATATCAGAAAAAGCTGCGATGTGTGATAACAGTGCTTAAWATTGTGGTAGCGATATGATTTGCGATAAATGAAAAAAATAAATATGCAGTGCTGATGTCTTTCTGCTCTGGGTTCAGAGCAAAAAAAACAACCAACATATCATTTCCATTACAACATGACAGAGTGAATACGATTTGATATGGTATCTCTGGTCCACTTTGTTTACCAGACTGACAAAGCACATAAATGCAAACATTAAAGCCAACCATTTATTGAAATTCATGCATTTTTTGCGATTTGCTTATTGCACAGGCTGTTGATGACGATAAAGTTGCAATATATTGTGCAGCCCTGCTTCAGGCCTCATAATAGTACACTGTTTCTCGGACAAAACACTGCTATAAGGATGGAGAAAGGTATGGCAATGACATACACTCACCACATCCCTATATGTTAAAAAGTACTTCCAGCCCCCTGACCTCTCTSTTTTAGAGGGCAGCCCCTGCACCAAATGGAGAAAAGTTGAGATGCCCCCTCTGGAAAATAAACGAGGAAAACAGATTAAGAAGTACATTAGAATAAAAGAGGATGAGGATGCCATTGGCAGCTGGAATATGCTTTAGACTCGACACTTTCTTCATAGGATTTAAAACAGAGTGTAAAGTGAAAAAATATGCTGGTTGTGGAAGCAAGGCTGAGAACATTTTATCAACCAGAGGTGGTCAAAGAGGGAACACAGTGCATATCCTCATCTGAAAGTGGAACAAAATGTCCCTTGCTTATTCTTTTGCCCAAAGCACCAATGACAGTGGCAATCTCTTTACAAATGCAGTCTGATTTGAACCTTCATTAGATTTTCTGTGATGAAATTTTATTAAAACACAGACCAGAATGTCCCGGAGAACTCATTATGGTGGCACTGACAGTTTTGAAMACCTTTTTTGTTTTACTTTTATCCACAGAACCCAAGAAAATGGTTTCCAGATGAAACCAAAGCTGTGTTGAAGCAGAGCAGTGGACTTCAGTGGAAACAGATGCATGTTGGTGACGTCTTGAGCTCCGCAGCAATAAGATCCTGCTGCTGAATCTGTGGGTCTGTTGGGGCGGTTCAAAGTAAACTTTCCTTGTTTTCCATGTTCTAGCTAAGGTTTTCCAAAAATATTTGAGAGAAGCAGATGGATGGACTTTTACTCATTTTAAATACAGGTTAAGTGAAAATTTGATGAAAACTGCTGCATTTTTACTAACTGAATTTTCACAATGTACCTGTGGATTTACTGTATAGGAATTTAATTGACTACAACTACAAGGTGAGTCAAAAGTCACAGTACACCTTTTTGAGTTAAAAGTAAAAAAAAGAAAAAAGAAAAATGACATGTGAAAAATGGTCTCTCTTTAAGGCCACCATCTTGACTGTTGTCATATTGGACCAAACTACAAGGGTGTCCTATGACTTTTGACTCACGCTGTAGCTTTGAACTGTGATGTGAATAAAATTGAAGATTTTGATTATTTTTTGCTCTGTATGGTGTTGTGAAATACATTTTGTAGTTAACTGGTGCCGTGAACTGAATATTAACTGCATTTAAATGAAATAAATGGGACAATATTCATGTTAGCTCATTATAACAGCAATGAGAACAAAAAACATTCATAAACTGCTTTTGTTTTTTGGAGTTGTTTTGAAATGCTGCAGATTTGAGCCCCGGTTGCATCAGGATGGGCATCTGTTGCAAAACAATTGCCAAATTGTTTGAGCAAGTTTGTTCACTGTGGCAACCCTTAAAATAATAATAAAACCATAAATAAATTCAATTTGTTCTTGTAAATCAAACTGAATGGAAACCGTTTAACACCAGATGCATGTCCTGATGCAAACTGSGCTCAAACCTGCAGCGTCAGAATGRTGAGACCGGAGTGCTGACCACCAAGGTACAGCAGCCCATGAGACCAAACTCAATGACAACTCAAATACTCATCTGAATGGTGCCATAAAGGACAGCTGTAAACTGGGCAACAGTCTTTGATGATGCAGTCCCCACTTGCTGAAACTGGTTCTCAAAACGTTTTCACGCAGTTTATGTCCAACAGGAATGAGTAAACAAGAAAGCAAATTCATAGAGCAAATGAACAGCTGAACACCGAGTGGAAGGAGTGCACTCACAGAATGTTATGGCTCTAATGTATGTATGCTTATTTGTGGTTAAATCTATTAATAACAACCCATTTTCTGATGAGGTTCAGACGAAAAGAAAATTTGATTCCTATCTCTCCAGATGAAAGAAAGAYGTTCAAGTAAAAGTACGTTATAACTCATAACTGCATCTCTCATTTGTGACGAGCCCTTTCTTCGTAACTCACGCTGGGTGAAACACATGGGAAGAGTCTACCCTGTGCTTTTTCACTACTTCAACAAGCTCTCTGACAAATATACCATTAGTTAGTGTTGTTTCTCATTTTACAAAGAAGATGTGTCACTTAGAATAGTTTGCCCTGCATGATTAAAGTAGTCRTAGGTCACATTTAAACTTGCGTACTCGAGTGCACAAACACAAACAGTTTGTGTGTGCTTAGAGGCAATGAATTCAAGCCTGTGACCTTACACTTCTCTACAATGTTAGAAAAACTTCAAATTTCACATATTATACATACTGTGCAGAGGACAAAAAGGAAAATTGTATTATTTTATACACATACTGTACAGCATATGAAGTGTTTTGAATCATACAAGATATTAAAAATGTAAAAATATGTCATTACCTGAGTGTGATGACTGTCCATGTGTCTGTGTAGGGAGGAGGTGCTGGAATTTGACTTGATGTGAGTCTCATCTTCCATAGACCCTGGATACAAAATAGGAAAACCACGAATWTCAGATTAAACGTCCCCTTGACTGTACGCAGCTAATCATCATACATCATTACTGCTTTAAACTGAATGATCTAAAGTGTGTGTGCGAAATGTTAAGTGCTGAGGTGTTACCATTGGAGATCTGGTTGCCGTTCTCTACAGGAACAGGGCTCGGGGAGTGAAGAGAGTGGTTGTTGGCGTTCTTGTCTTGCAGCTGCAGAGAAGGTGATGTGGGCGCGGAGCCACAGTCTTCTTTCCCTGGCAGATTYATATTAGAATTGAACCCTAGAAAAAATTAATTAATTAATTAATAAAAAAAGAATTGAACCCTAGAAGAAGTGCGTCCAGAAAAACATGACACATACTATMAGTCTGTACATGACACAACTAGCATACATAAGATAAAAAATATATATATTCTTGAAATACAATATTTGTGTAGATTTTTCATTTTGCCTGCTGATATTGAGGTATGCACGGTTCTTGGGGTTCACATGTGTTTGCAAACTGCATAAGTAAGTGGCTCTAGTTACATGTGTGTGTGGCAGTTTGAGCAGTAATTCATCAGCAGCTGTCTCAAGAAGAATTTGTGCCTGTTGGTCCCACTACAGTCACATGATACCTAAATATAACAAATTTACTACATCATAGGGTAAAGGTTTGTGTTTGAGAAGGACAGTCCGAAACAAAAGTCTGATAAAAAATAATTAGAGTCAAAGCATATCTGCTTTTAAAATATGCATTTTTAAAATGATTTTCTCTTGCATTTTTGTGCTTTTCTCATACTCAAAGGTAAGCAAAGATGGCAGGGACTGGAGAGTCAGCTGCTCTTTACAGAGAAGTCTGGAATAGCAACTGTAACCCCCGGCCACTCCCCCAGAGTTGGGTATCACATTCAGTCATTTAACTGCCAAGAGGGAACGGAAGTGGGTTGTCCTGTTAAGCCCAAAGGCATCCCTGTGCGTTCAGATCTGAGAGGACCGCTGTGGTCTGCCTGCTCAAAATACCTCGTGGCCTGCTCCCCCTGTCACACACGTTATTTTCCATGATGCCAGTGCTTTTCCTGCTCAGGTCCAGGTGCTGACCAAGAGTCAACTGCAAGACGTGACGTGAGGCAAATGCGTCAGCAAACGCACTTGGTTGCATACAGCATCTTATAAGGTGATGAGCTCGCCGCTGCCTGGATTKTTTTACAATTATAGAAGTATGACACGTTTGTTACACAAATGAAGCTTCCTTAATAAGGCTCAAGAYTATTTACAGCAATGGCTACCACTGATTTGACCATAGTTTTCTTTTTAATTATTTGTCTTCCAGATAGTTGTCCAAGCCATACCCTTCACTGCTGCAGAGCATTCGCAGTCCGTTCAGTAGAACATGAGTGAGCTGTTAAATATTTRATGCCTAATCCTCATCGTTCTACTGCTCATGTATTATTAATCAAGCCACAAGTCATACACTGAGGAAACAGATACCAGGACAAAAAAAAAAAAGAGAGTAGGAGAGAAGAGTTTCTATTTTTTCCTCATGTTTGGCTTAACCACACAATATTTACTATCCCATGATTGCTTCAAAGTTATCACTTTTTAGATTGGAATGTTTCGACCTAATGGCCCTCATCTTACTTTGCCCTACTTTCACAACATGTTCTGCCTTGCATGCTACTCACTAAAGTACCTCACACAGTAACCCTGCAAAAACAAACTCAAACTGCAGCCTGAGACTAATGGTGGGTTACATTTACCTCTGAAGTCAGAACTCCAATCTGACTGAATGACTTCGTACTCAAGAGTGTCCCAGTTTCAAGTTGGAAAATCATCATTTGTGCTCAGTGATGAGGCTAACTACTATTAGCTATATAACCCAAAGACAATATATTTATTTGCTTTTTATGCATTAAAACACTGGTAACATGTTCACTAATAGAGACTGGGAAGTACTATGAGTGACTGTTGTAACGAGATAAACAGAAGTGAAAACAACCAGTTTAATTACAGCAGCTGTTTTCAAGATGGCAGCGTGCTGTTACTCCGYGGCTTCTCACTCTCCCAAAAAATAACGGTCTTTTCTAATGATTCATACTTTGAATTTGTGCCCAAGATACCCCGCTTTAAGYGTGTGACATACAGTCAAATTAAACTTTTTAATTTAATGGAAGATTTGGCTACAAGAACAGTGACAAAGGACCCCAGGCTCAGGCTCTCCTATGGACATCAGAGTGGTGGAGCAGAATGCATCGGACAGAGGGCAAGTGTTTCTCTTATATATTGTTCTTGGGGTTAATTGGACCGTGAGTATGTAATTGTGTTCCACCTCATGCTTAACACATAATGTGAATGACAACAAAGTCTCCTTGAATCACCATAATAACCATATTAGATTTTGAGGATRGAGACTGGCAGGAAACCTGGGTGTTTTCATTGAGTTTTCTAACACGTTGGAAAAAAAGACATTTAAGTACAAAAGGATTGCAGCACAAGTGAGTTAAACATCATAGTTCATTAATCAACATGTTAAAAAGCAGCAGCAGAAGCTGAAGGACATGTTGCTGAATATAATGGGTTAGTGCTGCTTTGTCAATAAGGTAATGAGATTTAAATAAAAATAATACAATTTTGTGGATATTAAAGTGTTGTACTCTCTTGTAAGCCACCTTATAAGTTAATTACTTATTCAACGCATATATCGCTGCATTAAAATTTGTATATTCACAAAAATACCAATTTCCTCACATATAATTTATYGGACATTGTACTGTATACAAGAATCAGTGGTTATCTTCCAAATGATCTATACACACCAACATGAATATGTGGTGACCGGTTATTTGTGCTTGTAGCTAATCTTCCCATAAATGAAGATGCGATAAAAATAATGATTCAAAGATAAGGGAGAGGCATTTAATGGAAGTGGAAATGGCTGCTGATATGTGTATGAGCATTACAGACCTCCTTCTCTTGCCTTGCGGCCAGGCGTTGACTTCCTCAACAGGCTGCGTCCGGAGCTGAACAGAGTGTTGAGTTCATCCAGAGGGCTGGTCAGTGGTCTACCATTGGCTGGGTTAAAAAGCAGGGGGGACGATGAGCAGGAGTGGGCCCTCCGTGGCTCGGGACGAGACATCTTCACAGGTGAGTAGGGAGGGGGCTTCCCCAGTGGCTCCCCACCCGCCCTTTGCGAGGAGGTTTTGGCAGAATCTGAGCTCCCAGTGACAGATGCTGCCCGAGTCAGGAAGCTGGCCTCAGGTGGGAAGGGGAAGTGTGATGGGGGTCTGTAGGGAGGAGGTGGAGCACTTGGGGGAGGGGGTGGAGGTGGAGGAGTGAGTGGAGGCGTAGACTTCTTTTCTGGTACAAGGRCAGTGAGACTAGGGGAGGAGTCAGCCCTTTGGCGAGCAAACTGTGGGGACAGGGGGCTGTCTGGGCCCGTGGCGTAGTTCAGRTTAGTCTCAAACACGGGCAGCTTCTTCACTTCGAGTGGGGTCAGGGGTGATTCATCTGAAGCAGGAGAGCAGGTGACAGGTGAGGGGGGGAACACCAGGAGAGGTGGGCGGTGGGGGAGCAGGTTGGGGAAAGGAGCAGGGATGTCACAACTGCCGTCTTTGCCATGTTGGGTTTTGTTCTGCGTGAGAATAACGTCCACGGCAGCACTCACCCCAATTGATGTTTGTTTGGCTTCTCCATGTTTTGGAGGAGATATCCCAAAYCCCACCAGGCCCAGGGTTAGAGTCTGCAGTTTGGCTGCCTTCGTCACTGCTGTGGGAGGTGTTCCACCTTCTTCAGGAGGGAGATACTTCATTTCCTCATAGACAGCTTCTGAGTCTACCTGCTCTGGGCTATCAGGGGGCTCCTGGAGGCTCAGAGCACGCTGCTGAGAACCTAGCATCTCAATGTATACATCCTCTTCATCGTGTCCTTTGAATAAGCTTAATGCTACCCCTTGAGGAGCATCTATAGAGGCTGCTCTGTGCATTAGGCCTCCAAATCCCCCACCTCGGGAAAGCAAGGCCAGCTTTACATCAGCGGGCCGCAGCTGGTGGAGCTGCGGTGCTACAGCGTTAATCTCCTCATACGAGCCTGTCAGCTTAGTGTTGGGGCTGCGCTTAGGTTTCGGTGGTGGTACCTTTCTCATTGTCGTATAGTCATCACTGTGGGGACGAGGTTTGGAAGAGGCTGTGGAAAGATCAAACGAAGTAAATTATGTAGAAAAAAATAATAATAAAGCAAAAAGGCATAAAATATGTACCTGCTGGGTCATTTGGGGAGAGCTGGGATTTAGGGGGACTTCCAGTCGGGGATATGTACCCCTCAGGTGTGGAGCTCTCTTTGACAGCCATTGTCAACCCAGCACTGACTGCTTCATAGGATGCACTCAGGCGGGTGTTGGGGTCCCTCTTTGGTTTGGGAGGTGGCTGCTTCCGAGGCGAGGAAAGGTTTCCACTGCCTGCCCCATCATCACTGCTTTGGGCTGCCTGCTGCAAGGCTGGTTTGACAAGGGGACTAGCAGAGAAGTGGACTACATTCTCCACAGCGAGGGGAATGGGCACTGAACTGGAGCGATAATGGCGAATAACTCGAGTGCCACTGTTTGCCGGGCACTCGTGGGCTTTTCCGTTTTTCTCCACCATTCTAGAAACAGATAAAGAAAATGAATATCTAATGGAAAAATAAATGATTAACATCTGGAATATTATGATCTATTAAAAGTAGTCACTTTTTAAAAAATAAAATCTGCCAGATTTAGATTTATTTATAAATTTAGTTTAGTTTATTCATTTATTTAATTTAAAAACAAAGCAAATTCAATTTACAAAAAAATACAAATGACTAATAAAATAAAATGAAAGGCAGCAGAAGGAAGATAAAATCTTGTAATATCTGTGCCTTTTTCCATCAAAAGAAATTCAAACAATAATAATAAAAACATTTAAATTGCTAATGTATTGAAAAACAAATGCTTGCTTAAAGTGTCATGCCCAAAAATTAAAATAAGATAAATAAGGCATTGCATATATATATA